GTCGTGCGCAGCGGCGCTCGCGTCCAAATTTCAGACTTGGTCTCGTCATTGTCTTGACGGCCCCGTCTGGCCAACCCGAGTCCCCGGAGCCCGAGGCTCACGTCTCCTCAATTGCGGTGGGGGCGTTGGTTTAAGGAATGTGCCCAGGGGAGGCTTCAGACTCTGGGGCTCCCCATTATTGGAGGAGGGCGGCAGCGGCATCCATGGCGAATCCACGAGTGGAGTTCCTCCGGCCTCCAGACCCTGGATTCGTGATCCAATGCTTGCTTATCCAATGCCCATGACCCGGAGACGCGACGTAGCGAACAAGACACGCGCATCGCAGAAAGTCGCGGCCAGAGCCCTGCAGACCCCATCTTCCCACTCCCTTTTCTCAAGCCCGGTCGACTGGTGAGGGCCCCCAGGGCCCGAAAGCGGGCGACATCGCCCAGCTCGGAGAAATGGATCGCTGGGATCTCAGGGTGCGTCTCCCCGACTATTACCAGCCTCGAACGTATCCCTATCCCTAAGATTGACACGCCAAAAGGCGATGACAATCTTAAGGATTCGCCCTCAAAAAATAAGGGGATCCCTAAGATCGCCATCGTGATGAGGCGATGCCCAGCATAGGGATAGGGATATGTTCCCAGGCTGGTAAGATGACTCTGCGCGCCGCCGGCCCGTGTACAACGCGGGGGACGTGGCCGGCTGCCGCGACCTCTACGCCGAGGCCTCGGACATCGAGAGAAAGCCCACCCAGACACCTGCCCAGAGATCCGACGCTCCAGCAAAAAGGAGAGCGTCGGGGTGTTGGCTGTGTTCGGGGCCGTCAAACAACGGCTCAGGACGAAGAACCGGCCCTGGGGGAAGCGGTCCAGTCCTTTGGGGCCCATGCATCGGACAACATTGGAGCTGCCGGATGTCTGGAGGAAGCCTGTTTCCGGTGCAGTCCCTGGCCCGTTTCGCCAATCGCCGTGCGTTTCGCCAGACTCGCGGCTGTGTGCGGACGTCGGTTCGTGATTCCGCCCCGGGTGCATTCGGCAGGCGGTGCCGTGCGCACACCGAGTGCCACTGGCAGCTCTCACGAAAGGACGTCTTGCTAAAGCCACCATTGAAGGCCGCGCGGGGCCGCCTGGCCTCCCGTCGTCCTCGTCGTCGTCGCCGTCGTCGTCGTCGCCGCCGTCGTCGTCGTCGCCGTCGTCGCCGCCGTCGTCGTCGTCGCCGTCGTCGTCGTCGTCGCCGTCGTCGCCGTCGTCGTCGTCGCCGTCGTCGCCGTCGCCGTCGTCGTCGCCGTCGTCGTGCCCGAGGCCGCGCGGGGCCTCCTGAGCTCCCCGGGCGGCGCCGCGGAGGTGCCCCCGGCGCTGCGGCGGGGCCTCGAGGCCGCGCTGCGCGAGGCCGGCGGCGCGGACGCCCGCGCCGGCGCCTGGGCGCTGCGCCGGGCCTTCGACGAGGCTCGAGGAAGAATCGGGGGCGGAAAAAAGGGGGGTGATGACTAGGGGGGAGTGGATATCATGGCGGGGGCCATGATATCTCCCCAGATTTCGTGGCGCCTCTTCTTGTTTTATTACGTCCCTGGCCCCCCCGCTGGGCCGCGCACATGCCGCCGGTCATGATTTGCACCCCCCCTCTTGGACACCCCCCTCTTGGCCGCTCCCGAAAGAAGCAACAAAAAAAAGGCACAGGCTCGTGGCTCGAAGCTCGAGGCTCGAGGAGGCTCGATGGGTAGAATCGTCCCAGGGTTGTCGGCGAACAAGCAGTGCCAAGGCCATAAGCCTGAAAGCTCGGAGGTTCGGGCATGCCTCTCGCAGCAGCGCCGGAGCCCGCAGGCGGCGCCCGGAGGGGGGTCCATCGCCGATCCGAGAAATCTGCGCGGACCTCGGAGTTTTGTATCAGAGTGGGGGGGCCGAACGGTCATTCACTGTCCCTGGGCGCATGGCTGAATTGAGGTTCGGCGGTGTGGATTGTTGATATTGTTGCTATTGTTTTTGTTGCTGTTGGTGGTGGTGGTAGTGGTGGTGGTGGTTGGTTGTTATTGTTTGTTGTTGCCGTTGTTGTTGGTGATGGTGGTGATGGTGGTGGTGGTGGTTGGTTGGTTGGTTGGTTGGTTGGTTGGCTGGCTGGTTGGTTGGTTGGTTGGTTGGTTGGTTGGTTGGTTGGTTGTTGTTGTTGCTGCTGTTGTTGGTTGTTTTTGTGATTGTTGTTGTTGGTGATGCTGTTCTTGGTTGTTGTTGTTGGTGGTGGTTGTTCGTGGTGGTGTGGTTATTGTTGTTGGTGTTGCTGTTGTCGTTTTTGTGATTGTTGTTGTTATTGTTGCTGTTGCTGCTGTTGTTGCTGGTGGTGGTTGTTGTGGTTGGGTGTTGTTTGTGTTGGTTGTTGTTGGTGGTGGTGGTGGTGTTGTTGCTGCTATGGCTGCTGTTGGTGTTGAAATCTTAAGTATTGTTGATCCCCGTTTCCTATCAAGGAAAGTCTTCCTCCTCAAAGTGCGTTGTTGAGCCTCGAACAACAACAACAACAATTACTAGCACGTGGGGACACTCCGTTCTCACCAGTGCCAGGGTTTTCATAGGAGGCGGGCAATACCCCCACTTTGTGGGGGGGCCGGTTCAAGCTCTACCAAATTTCCAAACGACTCTTCGCCACCACCCACACCCAGCTTCCCGCCCTATGACGTTCGGACACTTCACTTCGTGGCATGCGGACGACCGTGGCTACTATTCAGGGCCCCGCGGCCGACGACGACGGCGTGCGCGCGCGAAGAAAAAACGAATGTGTCCCGCATGGTATTATTTGACAGGGATGATGGCCCTGGCAGGTGCGCAACCGTTGTCGCAGAAGTTCGAAAAAGTTGCTCGCAAAAGCCCGTTTGACAGAAATGTTTAAAAAGTGTTGGGTTTCCTACGAATCCGCAAGAGCGCGCGGGATGAAATTTTGACATTTTTTTGTTTGAAAAACCATGGTTTTTTGATGTTTTTATGTTAAAATCGCTACGAAAACTAAGGTTTTGGAAGGATTTCGTCTTGCGCGCGCGAATGTCCACTTTACCTTTTTTTTTTTGCAAGGGATTCTTGAAGTTTGGATTATGTTAGAACAAGAAATGTCCACTTTAGCTTTTTTTTTTTTGCAAGGGAAAACCGATCGTAACAACACAACCGGATCCGGACCAACCCGTTTTGCCTGAGACTTCCTCGCGAAAATGATGAAAACATGGCTGCGGCCTAGGCGCGGCGAGGGGGTCGTGCACCAGGGGCCCCAACAATAATTATTCTTTAGAAGTAAGAATGTTCAACAACAACAACAACAACAACAACAACAACAACAACAACGGCTCCCGCCTGATTCCTCCTCCGCGCTCTCGCGCGAGACTCCCTCACTATTTATTCAGGAATCGCGCTCTCGCGTGGGACTTCTCGTAATTTATTCAGACGCCGCGCCCTCGACGTTCAGGAGTCACGCTCTCGCTGTGGATTTCCCCACGATTGATTTGGGAATCGAGCTGTCGCCCGAGATTTCCTCGCGATTCATGCAGGGCGCACGCTTCAGCAACCCGCCTGCTCGACCTGGTCGCCTGGGCTCTCTTTCCCGACCCGCCTGATAGGGTTTATCCGCCCGATCTGCCCGTCTGGTTCTGCCACGTGGTTTCTGCTTCTAGCCCCCCTCCTCCTAGTCTCTCTCGTGCTCCATCCTTTTCCCTCTCCCTTGTCCCTTCCATCCGTCCTCTTCTCCCCTGCCTCAGGGGCTGCACGAAATACACGTTGCAGGTAAGAACGACCTACCCCAAAGAGGTACGGTCGAAGACGAAGAGTGCGGGCAGCGAGGGTTCGGAATATACGTGTTGAATGGCCCGCGAGCAAAAAAAAGCGAGCAGTCTGAAAATGATTGTTGTCGTTGTTGTTGCTGCTGCTGCTGTTGTTGTTGTTGCTGTTGTTGTTGTTATTGTTGTTGTTGTGATTGTGGTTGTTGCATTGTTTGTTGTTTGTTGTTTGTTGTCGTCGTCCCACCCGCGACCCGGCCCGCGACACACCCGCGACCCACCCCGCGACCCACCCGCGACTCACCCACGACCCACCCCGCGACCCGCCCGCAACCTAATTTCGACCCACACGCGACCCACCCGTGACCCAGCCCGCGAACCACCAGCGACCTACCCGCGACCCACTGTCGACCCACCCACATTGCTTTAGCGAAAAAATTGGCGCTTGCTGCGGGCTCGCTGTAATTTGTAAAATCTGGCGCCTGCGGCGGGCTTTTTAGCCTCATAGATTGCCGACGTCACCGCTTCCCCCTCACTCTTCTCCGCAACTGCGGGGTGCTACGCATTTATGTCATTGTTTGTTTCCCAGATTGGGCTCAAGATTCTAGACCTCCCAGACGGGATCGGAGCAGACGGGGTCGGAGGATCGCACGGCATTGCCGATGTATCAGCGATGCGGCTCGATGTGGGGCCCGATTTGCTCCATGCCGATGACGCCAGAAAAAAAAACTCAGAGAGATCCGAAGCTCCGAACAAAAATTCGAGCGGCCGTTTTTTTTGCCATTTTCGGTTTCCCGGGGCCCTCAACGGGGGCTGGGACCTTCAATGGAGCGCAGGATGTCTGGGAATGGCCCAAGATTGGGCCCAAGATCGGCCTGGCCAAGACTGGCGCAGGTATTACCGAACAGAAGGGTGCGGCGAACGGGAAAAGAGGACGGCATACACATATTTTGTCGGAGGTCGGCACCACACATCAAATTCGTTTTTTGGGGACAGGAACATGACAACATGACCATGAAACTAGGTTCGCAAACCTGCCTCAATGAATGTCCACTAGGCAGGCTTGCGAGCAGGAGACAATGCCCGCACACCTCGGTGATTATATATCTATATAGATGTATATAAATACATGTGTGTGTGCTTGTGCGGTTCCCAAAGTTCTCAGAGGTGGGCGACCGTAGCCATTTTGGCTCAAGGCGCCGGCATGGCCCAGCCCTTGCCCCCCAGCCCGACCTACGTACTCTACACTCCTTCACTTGCACCGCTAGCCATGCTACTGCGGGGAGCCGTGGTGCTGGCCACTGCAGCGCTGCACGCGCACGCGGTTGCGGCGACATCCCTGAGGGTCTCTTCGATCGGTCCGTTCGATGAGGCTTTCGACGATTTCTACGTTCCCGAGCCGTACGACTTTTCCATCTTCGACCCGTCACCAACGTCTCCAGCTATGGATCAGAACCACCAGAGAAGATGGGCACCTGCCCCTCGCGACGACGACTTCCCCTACAGAGGCCCTCAAGGCCCAAAGCGAAAGACGCACTGGGACAACCGAATGCTGATCGTGCCCAGCAAGAAGATGGCCTTCTGCTACATTGAGAAGAACGCGTGCACGCAGTTCAACAAACTCTATAACGCCCTAAACGGATTCGGATTCGACCCACATGACGACAACCCCTTTTGGAAATCAAACTCTGATTCCAAAGATAAGCGTATTAGAAGTTATTTCGGGGATAACATCTCCAAAGCAAACGGCTGGAAGATGGCAATATTCCTGCGCGACCCTGCAGAACGATTTCTGTCCGCTTGGTTGTCAAAGTGCGACGCTTGGGAGCACGGGGGGATCGATTGCTTGGGTCCCCAGGTCACCAACATGTCGGAAAGCAAGAAGGTGGAATCGTTTGAGAAGACTGTGATAGAGCTGCTCCCGAAGTACATCGGATTTGTGGACGCAGTCGGATTTTACAACGCCCATTACGATCCACAGCACGTATTTTGCGATGGTCGACGTCTAGAAGAGTACGACTTCGTGGGGAAATTGTCGGGCCCCCCCGCGCACATCCAAGAGCAGGTGGTAGACATGCTGAAGCGCGAAGCGGGCATGGAAGAGTCGGACCCGTTCATGGATCTTCCTCGCAAGTTATTCCCATCAGAAAGCGCAGCAGGTCATGGCACCGGCTCCGCAAGCTTGATGAAGCAGTTTTATCGGAATCGCACAATCTACAACAGAGTCGTAGAGCTTTACGCTTCAGACTACCGTTGGGCCTCCTCCACGCTCAGCCCGAGTTCCTTGTTTACCGCTTGAGGGAAGAACAGCTGAAGAGTAGCTTAGTTCTCAGAGGTGGGCGCGGGATTTATCGGAACGCCGCTGGGCCCCCCTGTCGGAGCCTCCGGCGCCGCCCCTGGCGAGCTCCGAGCGCCAGGGAGGGGGGCCCAGCGCCGATCAAAAAAATCCGCGCTGACCTCCGAGAAATCATGTTTCTGCTGTCCTGGGCTTCCACACGAACGCGAGGAGGAGGGAGGAGGAGAGATGGCTTCAGGAGGAGTGGGGGGAGAGGGGGGAGGGGGGAGGGAGGGGGAGGACAGAGAAATCCGCGCGGACCTCCGAGAAATATTGCTGGTGCCGTGCTTGCTCGTTCTGCCCCTCCAGAGGCGCTCGCCGGGCCGCTGGGCGACGCCGCGGCCGCACGGCCGCCCGGGCTGGCGGTCTGCGGGAAGGGAAGATTCGAGTATGGTGATCGACTGCAGAATTGATTCCCCCCCAGAACGATTAGGTATGTAGACTGTACGAGCACTGCGTATACTGCTCGCAGATCTACGAACATGATCTGCATGATTTGTACACTCGACGAGAGTCCAAAGTTGGGGGCATCAATTGGTAGTCGATCCCTCTTCGAAAGATGGCACGATGCATCGGGGGGTGGTCGAGGACTGCGGGAGCGTGGCACTCTGGAAGGGCCAAGGCTGCGGCCGCGGGCCCCAGAGAGGGGAACGAAATGTGCACGGGTGGGCAGTCTCCGGGGAAGAGAATCGGGGGCGACGTTGCGGCGGGAACTTCCCACCGTAATGTCGCCCCCGATCCGAAGCATCGAAAACCTTACTCACTGGGACGGTTTTTCTATGTTTTCGGGCGGCTTCGTCGGTTGCGGTTTCTCTCTGGGCCTCGGGATGCCTTCCAGCGGCTGCGCCTCGCCGAGAGCGTCTTTTTAGGGGTGCCTGGATCCGTGGCGGACAGCCGCGGGAGAAGATGGCACACCTCGGGCGGACGGCAACGACGGCACAGTAATCATTGGGCTTGGCATCGCTCGGGCGTGTGCAGTTTTTCCTCGGCGAGGACCCCCTTGTAGCCCGCCTCCTCCTCCTCCTCCTCCTCCTCCTCCTCCTCCTCCTCCTCCTCCTCCTCCGTATCCATTTTGGCTCATGCCTGCCTTGGGCGCCAGGCGGGCGCCAGCGTTGGGTCTCTGCCGCGGCGGCGATGGCTCCCCTGGGGATGGCTGCGGCAGGCTGCACGGCTGCTCATGGAGCGGCGGAGCAGCCCGACGCTGCGGCGGGCGCGGGCTCGCAGTGGCCTGCAAGGCGTGCCAGGCGCGATGCTGCCCGTGCGGCGGCTGCGGGCCGCCTTGCTGCGGCGCTCCAGAGGATCACCGAGCTGGAGGAGTAGGCCATCGAGCTGCAGGCCGAGCGGCGCCATGCCCAGGCGGCAGGCCGCGCTGCGGCCCTTGCGGCGGCCCAGCGCGCCTCGGAGGCTGCGCCCGAAGTGGCGGACGGGTCGGCCGCGCAGCAGGACCCCGCGCTGCGGTGCGAACTTGTGGAGCGATTGGCGCTGGTGGCGCCCGTCCTGGAGGCGGACCTCCAGGACGCGCCCAAGAGCGCCTCGCGGGCGGGCAGGCGCAAAACGGTGTGCCACCACCCGCAGCTGGCCGCGGCCGAGGCCCGTGCTATGCCTCAACGCCCGCTCATCCGCTTGCAGCGCGAGGCGAGGCGCGCTGGCACTCGGCCCCAGCGTGGCAGCAGGCGCGCGCCGGTTCAGCCGCGGCACCGTCGGATGCCCGCGACGCGCTCGGCTGCGGACGCGGCCCCGCTGGAATGGCGCGTGGTGGCCGTTCGCGGCCGCGCAGCACGCAGTGCGCCGCCTGTGCGAGCACCTCGGAGCACGTCTCGCGTCGAGAGGCCGCCTGGGGCCGCAGGCGCCCGCTGGTGGACAGCGGCGGCGGAGGTAGCGGGAAGGAGTGGCGGCCTCGATGTCCTCCCTCCGCGCGGTGCCGCCGATACCCAGGGTGTACCAGATGATCACGACGAGGGTGGAGCCGCAGTGATTCGTGGTGCTGCCGGCGTCCGTCGTGCTCGTGCCCTCCCTCGGCAAGCCCGTCGCGATGCCGTTCATGTGCCCCGTGCTGGTCCTGGCGACCAGGGGAGCGTCGCGAACGAGGGCGCCGAGGTCCCTCACCCTGCCCGTGGTGCCGCCGCCACGGGTGCTGGCGATGGAGTCTCTCCAGAGGATGTTCACGGAGGGGCTCGCGGAGTCGATGGGAACGCCGCTCGGCTCGTTCACGATGCCTCCCAAGTTCGTGGTGCGGCAGTTTACGGTGATGCTGATGGCGTTCTTCCGCTTCGTGGCCCTGACGTCGCCGACGACCCGTTCGACGAGCGCACGGTCGCCGGTGGGATGCGGCGCCTCGTGGATATGCGGAGGCACGTCTACCAGACCTGGGCCATCGAGGACCGCCTGCAGAGCGAGGCCCAGCTCGCCAGCATGGCCGCGGAGCTGGAGCAGGCGAAGGCGGCAAGGCGGGCCCGCCTCGCCGCGAAGGCCAGGCAGGCCAGGGCGGCGCAGCGCGGGAGGTGAGCTTCGGGGGCTTGGCCGCCCGCTGTGCAGCGTAGGGGCGGGCCCGTGCTCTGTCCTGCTGGGTCCGCCTCGAAATTTTGGTGCGGCGCCCCCCGCGGGTTCGGGTGCCGCCGCTGTCTGGGTCGGGCGGCCGCTGGCGGCTGCTGGGATTGCCCGCTCATGTCCCCGCGGGGGTGGCTTCCGTCCCCCTGGCTTGCCTTCGGGGTAGGCCAGGGTCGGGCGGATGCCTGTCTAGGCTGCTTCGGGGTCCTTCCCTCGTCGCTGCGGCGTCCGCGCGTCGTGCTCGAGGCGGCGTGGGACTCTCGTGACATCTGGGGCCCTGGCGGTCGCCTGCGTGCAGACGGCCGCCGGGGCCTCTCTGATGATGCTCCATCCATCCGTCCTCCTCCTCCTCCTCCTCCTCCTCCTCCTCCTCTTCCTCCTCCTCCTCCACCTTTTCCTCCTCCTCCTCCTCCTCCTCCTCCTCCTCCTCCTCGAGGGGCATCCTAGACCATCGTGCAAAGAGAGCACGCGCGAAAACGAAGCATGCACGGGGAAGGGGCGTCCGAGCGGTGGCGGGGTCCTTCCGGGGGGGTCGAGGGCTGCAGGGAAGGTGCCGTCTCCCGGAGCGGCTGCCGCCGCGGGCCCGAAAGGTTCCCCGACAGGCGCACGCTTCTGCACCCCACGCGTGTCTACATTGCCCTCCTCCGCCTCCGCCTCCTCCTCCTCCTCCTCCTCCTCCTCCTCCTCGTCCTCCTCCTCCTCCTCCTCCTCGCTCCTCGTTCCTCGCTCCTCGTTCCTCGCTCCTCCTCCTACTCCTCCTCTTTTTCTCATCCTCCTCCTGGGCCCAGGATCGGTGTACATTCGGGCCGAGGTGTAAGATCGAGGTCGTTTCGGGGAGGGTATCCCAGTGTTCTTCGTGTTTGTTGGATGTCCTTGTGCATCCTGGGGAGGGTACCCTAGAGGCTTCTGCACCCCGCGTTTTATATTCATCCCAGAGGCTTACGCCATTCCGCCGGCCCCCAGAAAAAGGAACAAGTCCACGGTGAGGCGTGTGGGGGCCTTTGGGGGGCTCTTTTGGGCCTTTTGGGGCCCTTTGGGCGCCTGCTGGTGGTCTCGGCGCCGCCACGCCGCGGGCCCTAAAGGCGCGCGCGACGCGCACGCTTCCTTGCACCCCGTGTTTATATTCATCGCCCCCCCACGGGGAAGAGACTCCGGGGTAACGTTCCGGGGGGGGTAGGTCCAGGGGCGGATGCATCGGCCCCCAATGGCCCAGTGATCGCCGAAAACAGGGTCCGACTGCACGCCCCCGCCCAGGAGCGTGCCGATTCGCTGTCGGGGGCCTGCCGCTGGCCTGTCGGCGATGCGCTGCCCATTCGAACTCTCTGTATCCCCCCCTGAGCTGGTCCCCTTCCTGACGCTGTACAGCTGGGGCCCTGAAGAAGGAACCCTTTTGGTTGGGGAGGGGCTCCGTGTTCCCTAATTGTTTCACAGCTTGCCTCAAGTTTTCCGTATGTTTTCGATCGGAAATCGAAGTTCAACATATGGTAAAAAGGGGCCTCGTTCCTTATTTGGGGCTCCTTAGGTCAAGGCCCCGACTGTACTTCAGAGCAGACGGCAGGAACACGTCAACTTTTGGAGTTCCGCGCCGATCTCTCGGATCGGCACTGGGCCCTCTGGCGGCGCCTCCGGCGGCGCCCCTGGCGCGCTCCGCGCGTCGGGGAGGGGGACCCAGCGCCGACCTCAGAAGTCCGTGCGGGCCTCCGAGAAGTGCTGCTCATGCGGGAGCGTTTGTTCCTCTCCTCGGGTGCGCTGGCATACCCGCCCCCCCTGCCCCAGTCAGATTCCACCCGCGCACCCCAGGGAGGGACATCTGCATACCACGCACGACAGGGATCCTTGCCCACCTCCCGGGTCGTTTGGGCATGTCTGGTGGGCCTGTTTTCCACCACCACCACCAGAAGCTGGAGGTGGGAAGGAGGTGGAGGATGAGGAGGAGGAGGAGGAGGAGGAGGAGGAGGAGGAGGAGGAGGAGGAGGAGGAAAAAAGAGGGGGAGGAGGACCTCCCCCCTCCAACTTCTGGTGGTGGTGGTGGTGTGAAACAGGCCCATCAATAGCAGCGTGTTTTTCGGGCGGATCCTTCGCAGGTCTGGGACTTCCGGGGCGGGGCCGGGCTCGCGGCGGACGTGGAGGAGGTGAACGACACGGTGATGGGCGGTGTCTCGCAGAGCCGGGTGTCCCTCGCCGCGGGCAGGGACGCGCTGTTCCAGGTCGGGCCCTCCTCGTCGTCGTCCTCCTCCTCCACCTCCGCCTCCTCCTCCTCCTCCTCCTCCTCCTCCTCCTCCTCCTCGTCTCTCTCCTCCTCCTCCTCCTCCTCCTCCTCCTCCTCATCCTCCTCTTCTTCCTCCTATTCCTCCTCCTCCTCCTCCTCCTCCTCCTCCTCCTCCTCCTCCTCCTCCTCCTCCTCGAGGAATGAAAAGGGAGATCCCACGCTCCAACAACATTCGAGCCGCCAGTTTTGTGCTACTTTCGGCTTCCGGGGGCCCTCGCCGCGCCCTGGGACCGTCAAGAAACGACTGGGGGGCGAAACACCAGCCCTAAAGGTGAGTGGTCCTGACCTCTAGTGCCCACGCATCGAGAAACTTGGAGCGGCCGGGAGTTTGGGTGCATCTCTCGTGCACCCTCGGGGGCCCCAAGTGGGGCCCCAAGTGGGGCCCCAAAGGGGGCCCGAAGGGTGCACGCTCCTTCGCCCCAGCATCTGCAGTCGGGCTGCTGAACTACAGTCAACCCGCATAGTAAGGATAATCGACTTCCCGGGGGTACCCTTGCATCCTTGCCTCTTCGGTAGATCTTGGGCTCATCCTCGACCACTCTCGATGGCCAGCCCCGATCGAGGAGCCTCGGCATGGGCGTCCAAGGCCCCTGCATCCCTACCGTGCATCCTTACGATACGGGCTGACTGTACGGAGCGCGAAGCAAGGAGCGACGTGTTTTTTTTTTGGGGGGGGGGCACCGATGGCGCCCGGGTGCGCGAGGAGGGCTTGAGGCACAGCCACGGCAGGACCCGAGGAGCAGCGAGCCCCTCCCGAAAACGCAGTGCAGCCCGCAGACCAGCGCTCTGGCTGCACAGTCAACCCGCGTAGCAAGGGCGAGCATCTTCAGAGGAGGAAAAGGTACCTCTACCTCTACCCTCCGCCCGCTTTCCCCTTTTTGGGCCTCCTGGGAGGTCCTCGTCGCCACCGCTGGATTCGCCTCGAAGTCCTGGTCAGCACGCGCCCCGGGAGAGGTCCGGAGAGTAGCGGTATGGGTACCTTTTGGTTTCCCCACATCTTTCCAAGGTTGCGCCTGCATCCGTCCCCTTCGGCCCATCTTTGGCCGCTTTCGCTGGCCGCGCCCCGCTTGCAACGCGTCGGCGTGGCCCTCCAAGGCCCTTGCATCCCTATCGTGCGTCCTGACTATACGGGTTCACCGCACCGCCCCCGAAACCCAGACATCCGGCCGCTCCAATTTTTTCAATGCGTGGGCCCTGGAGGTCTGGACATTCTTCCCCAGGGCCCCTGTTTCGTCCCGAGTCGTTTTTTCACGGTCCCGAGGCCTGAGGAGGGCCCGGGGAGGCCGAAAATAACCCCATTTTGGCCGCTCCAATTTTTTGGAGCGTCGGATCGGGCTTGCCCCACTCACCAGAGTCCCTGAACACTCGGACTCGATGAAGGGCCGATTGTCCACCACCATTACCATAGGTAGGAGAGGGGGAGGAGGAGGAGGAGGAGGAGGAGGAGGAGGAGGAGGAGGAGGAGGAGGAGGAGGAGGAGGAGGAGGAGGAGGAGGAGGAGGAGGAGGAGGAGGAGGAGGGGAGGAGGAGGAGGAGGAGGAGGAGGAGGAGGAGGAGGAGGAGGAGGAGGAGGAGGAGGAGGAGGAGGAGGAGGGAGGAGGAGGAGGAGGAGGAGGAGGCGGAGGAGGAGAGGAGGAGGAGGAGGCGGAGGAGGAGGAGGAGGAGGAGGAGGAGGAGGCGGAGGAGGAGGAGGAGGAGGTGGAGGCGGAGGGAGGAGGAGGAGGGAGGAGGGAGGAGGAGGAGGAGGGAGGAGGAGGAGGAGGAGGAGGAGGAGGAGGAGGAGGAGGAGGAGGAGGAGGAGAGAGGGGAGGAGGAGGAGGGGAGGAGGAGGAGGAGGAGGAGGAGGAGGAGGAGGAGGAGGAGGACCTCCCCATCCTCCCTTCTCCCCCGCCCTCCATCCAGGGGCGGGTCACCAGGGAGAACAACGGGGGCTTCGTGAGCGTGCGGTTCCGGCCTCGGGACGCTGGCGCCCTCGCCCGCCTCCTCGGGCGGGCCCGGGGCCTGGAGTTCGAGGTCGCCTCGCTCGGCGGGGCGAGGTGCTGGAAGGTGCGAGTGGAGATGCTGATGCTAATGCCGATGCCGATGCTGATGCTTATGTCGATGCGGTTGTCATAATGGTGACGATGCTGATGATAACGACGATGATGAACATGACGATGATGACGATGATGAACATGATGATGATGATGATGATGATGATGATGATGATGCTGATGATGATGATGATGATGATGATGATGATGTTGCTGATGCTGATGCTGACGCTGATGCTGATGCTGATGCTGATGCTGATGCTGATGATAATTATGAGTATGATGTATATGATTCGTGCGATGATGCTGATGCTGATGCTGGCGATTATGATTATGCAACTGATGATGATGCTGATGATGCTAATGGTGATTTGGATGAGGATGATGCTGATGATGATGATGAAGACGAGGATGATAATGATAATGCTGATGATGATTAGGATGGTGATGATGAGTATGATGACGATGACAATGACAGTGATGATGATGATGGCGATGATGATGGTGATGATGATGCGTATGATGATGACGCTGGTGGTACTGAATACGAATTTGATGATGCTGCTGATGCTGCGGAAGCTGGTGTTGACAATATGGATTTTGTCAATGATGTTAATGATGATGGGGGTGTGGATGACGATGTTGATGACGATGCTGCTGCTGCTGATGATGATGATGATGATGATGATGGTGGTGATGACGATGATGAGGATGATGCTGCTGCTGCTGCTGCTGCTGATGATGATGATGATGATGGGATGCTGATGATGGGATGCTGATGCGTATGATGATCCATCTGACGAGAATAATAATGATGCTTTTGATGATGACGCTGATGCTGATGATTATGGTGGTGCTGAAGATGATGATAATGATGATAATGATGATAATGATGAAGATGATGACGATGATGCTGATCATGATGGTGATGAGGATGGTGATGCTGATGATGATGATGATGATGATGATGATCATGATGATGATGATGATGCTGATGATGATGATGATGCTGATGATGATGATGATGATGATGATGATGATGATGATGATGATGCGGATCACAATGACGATGCGATGATGATTATGATGATTTTGGTTGTGGTGGTGGTGATGAATTCTAGACGCTTCGCGTATCCCCACCAGCCCGTCCAGAAATGAGTCCCAGGGGAGTGGAGGTTATGAGGGAAGCGGGGGAGCATGCAGAAGAACAGAGGGCGGGGTGAGCCGCCATATACCCCAAGAGGGGGAGGATGTAGGAGGAGCCGTCGTCGTCGGAGTAGGAGGAGGAAGAGGAGGAGCAGGAGGAGGAGGGGGAGGAGGAGGAGGAGGAAGATAAGGAGGAGGAGATGGAGGACTGCGAGGACGAGGAGGACGAGAAGGAGGAAAAGGAAAAGGAGGAGGAGGAGGAGGAGGAGGAGGAGGAGGGGGAGGGGGAGGAGGGAGGAGGAAGAAAGGAGGAGGAGGAGGACAATGGCGAGCTTGGGGGCCTCTTGGGCCGTCTTTGGGGCCTCTTGGCGGTCCCGGGGGCCTCTTGCGTATCTCGGGGAGCCTCTTGTGGCCTCTTGGGGGTCTCTTGGGGGCCTCTTGGAGGCCTCTTGGGGGCCTCTTGGGGCCTCTTGGGGCTCTCTTGGGGCGCTCTTGGGGCGCTCTTGGGAGCTTTCGAGGCGCTCTTGGGGCCATCTTGGAGGAGATCTATCAAAGAAGGGGGGGTCCTCAATTAGCGCTGCCCCTCTAGAGTGCCTCGAATCGCTTCTTGGGCCCTTCTTGAGGCCAAAATCTTTCCAAAACCTAGGTAAAATCAATGTTTTGTGTTTTCTCGCCTTTTCGCTCTTGGAGCCGTCTTGGGCCGTCTTGGGAGCCTCTTGGGCCTCTTGGAGGTCTCTTGGGAGCCTTTTGGAGGCCTCTTGGGCGCCTCTTGGGGCCTCTTGGGGCGCTCTTGGGGCGCTCTTGGGGCGCTCTTGGGAGCCTTCGGGGCGCTCTTGGGGCCATCTTGGAGGAGATCGATCAAAGAAGAGGGGGTCCCCAATTAGCGTTGCCCCTCTAGAGTGCCTCGAGTCGCCTCTTGGGCCCCCCAAGAGGCCAAAATCCTTCCAAAACCTAAGGAAAATCAATGTTTTTTGCTTTCTCGCCTTTTCGCTCTTGGAGCCGTCTTGGGCCATCTTGAACTCTCTTGGGGCCTCTTGGGGGTCTCTTGGCAGCCTCTTAGAGGCTTCTTGGGGGCCTCTTGGGGTCTCTTGGGGCCCTCTTGGGGCGCTCTTGGGGCGCTCTTGGGAGCCTTCGGGGCGCTCTTGGGGCCATCTTGGAGGAGATCTATCAAAGAAGGGGGGAGCTCCAATTAGGGTTGCCCCTCTAGAGTGCCTCGAAGCGCCTCTTGGGCCCCCCCAAGAGGCCAAAATCCTTCCAAAACCTAAGGAAAATCAATGTTTTGTGCTTTCTCGCTTTTTCGCTCTTGGAGCCGTCTTGAGCCATCTTGGGCGTCCCTGACACCTCGCGGGACGCCTCGTCCAGGTCAGTGGGGAGGGGTAAGGGGAGGGGTAAACCCCTCCCCGAAGGGAAAGAAGGGGGGTTGGCAGAGGAAACGCTCTAGACCACCTACGCCCTAAAGGGCTGGTGGGATTCGCTGATGATGAAGATGACGAGGGCGGCGGTTTGCTGCTGAGATGGGATTGATAGTTGTAATTATGGTGATGATGATGATGAGGAGGAGGGAGATGAGGACGTGAATGAGGATGAGGGTGAGGATGATGAGGGTGGTGGTGGTGGTAACGCTGTTGCTGCTGCTGCTGCTGATGATGATGATGCTGATGATGATGATGATGATGGTGATGATTATGATGATGATGATGATGATGATGATGATGATGATGATGATGATGATGATGATGATGATGATGATGATGATGATGATGATGATGATGATGATGATGATGATGATGATGATGATGATGATGATGATGATGATGCTGGAAGGTGCAGCTGAACGGTGGCGGCTTCGGCGGAAGCAACTACCAGGCCGACTTCGAAGCGCCCTTGGAGGAGGGAGTCGCGCTGAGGGCCCCGTTCGAGCGCTTCCTGCCCACGCGGTTCGGAAAGGTGACTGGCCCAGCGGGGTTTGCCCCAGGGTCCGAGAGCTCCGTGCGCTCCGTCGGCTTCATGCTGTCCTTCCTCACGGCAGGCGTCAGTCAGTAGCGAAAAAAGCACAGACACAATTAATCGTCAATCCCCCGGGGAATATGAGAGCATTTGGGAAGTGGAGGGGAAGACGAGAACCCAGAATCTATGCAAACATATGGGGGATCTTGGGATTTGTGTCTGTTTATTCGTGTGTCCCTGGGCCTCTTCCGCCAGCCACGCGCAGTGTGGGGCATGGGGGAGGGGGGGGGAGGCTTCTTAGAAGCACCCCTGCTCCTAAGAAGCCTTCCCCCCCCTCCCCCAAGGCCCGCCCTGTGCCCGCCGCCAGAGGCGGCCGGGAGAACCCGGCCTTCGAAGCGGGCTCGTTCGCGCTCCTGGTGCGGCGGATCGGCGTCTACGAGTGACAGCGGGGCCCGCCCCGTCCGCCCCTCCTCCTCCCCCTTCTCCTCCTCCTCCTCCTCCTCCTTTTCCTCCTCCTCCTCCTCCTCCTCCTCCTCCTCCTCGTCATCATCATCATCATCATCATCATCATCATCATCATCATCATCATCATCATCATCATCATCATCCTCTCTCTGCGCCGCCGCCCGGGCCAGGACCTCCTCGTCCGCGCCTCGGTGCGTCTGGCAGCGGGATGGGTCCAGCACTTGGGGGTTCTGCTCAAGGCGGGGGGGGGAGTCGGAGGAGGACAGCTCACAAAAATCCGAGCGAGAGGGCCGAACGGTCATTCAGTGTCCCTGGGCGCAAGGCTGAAGTGAGGTTCCGCGGTGTGGATTGTTGCTGTTGTTGATGTTGCTGTTGTGATTGTGGTGGCTGTGGGCTTTTCAATTCAAAAGAGCAATTATTGCTGATCCCCCCTGCCCAGTAAACATTGTATTGCTTCAATGAGAGTGCTTCTCCCGGGGCTCGCACCTTGCTCTCCACATGTTTCGTGGGGTTCTGCTTTTCTTCCCTTCCGCGTCGCACCCGCGTCTCACACCTCCCTCCCTCCTCCCTCTTCCCTCCTCCTTTTCCTTTGTCCCCTCACCCACGCGCAACACATTCACGGCACGTACATGAGACACGCATCTATATACCGCCGCATGCATGCACAAACTCGCAGACACGCAAACAAACCTTTACAACGCCAGTGTACGTTTGGCGTGTTACTGCATCATGCACCAACGCCGCATGCGCCACATACTGGGCACCAGCATGAGACACACGTCCAGATACAGCCGCACATGTTTCATACACATGACACGCACACCACACAAAACATACGCGCAAGATTAGCAGGGCGTGGCAGGCGTGGCAGGCGTGCTGCATCGTACACCCAAGACGTCTGCGCACGGTCGTCCAGGCACAGCAGACGTTGCATTCGATCGACACCATAGGGGGTGTTGAAGGGGATTGTCTCTCACCGCGGCCGCTATGCGCGACGGTCGTCCAGGCACCGCAGGCATGGCATTTGCTCGACACCATAAGGGGATGCACGGGGGGTGGTCTCTCACTGCGGCCGCTACGCGCGACGGTCGCCCAGGAACAGCAGACGTGACATTTTGTCGACGCCACAGGGGGGGCGCAGGGGGTGGTTTCTCACCGCGGCCGCGATGCGCGACGGTCGTCCAGGCACAGCAGGCGTGGCATTTTCTCGATACCGTTGGGGGTGCACGGGGGGTGGTCTCTCACCGCGGCCGCTATGCGCGACGGTCGTCCAGGGCATAGCAGACGTGACATTTTGTCGACACCACAGGGGGTGCACAGGGGGTGGTCGCTCACTGCGGCCGCTATGCGCGGTCGTCCAGGCACAGCAGGAGTGGCATTTGCTCGACACCGTAGAGGGTGCGCAGGGGGTGGTCTCTCACCGCGGCCGCTATGCGCGACGGTCGTCCAGGCACCGCAGGCGTGGCATTTGTTCGATACCAAAAGGGGTGCGCAGGGGGTGGCCTCTCACCGCGGCCGCTACGCGCGACGGGTCGTCCAGGCATAGCAGACGTGACCTTTTCTCGACACCATAAGGGGATGCACAGGGGGTGGTCTCTCACCGCGGCCGCTATGCGCGACGGTCGTCCAGGCACAGAAGGCGTGGCATTATCTCGACCTCACAGGGGGTGCACAGGGGGTGGTCGCTCACTGCGGCCGCTATGCGCGACGGTCGTCCAGGCACAACAGCAGTGACATTTTGTCGACACCACAGGGGGTGCACAGGGGGTGGTCTCTCACTGCGGCCGCTATGCGCGACGGTCGTATGGTTTGCGTGGCTATGTTGTGTGGCATGGGAACGCTTTGGTACGCGGCGCATTTGAAGCTCACCACCAGCAGCTGGCAAACTGGTGGCGTGACGCGCTCCTCACCAGATGCGACGAGTTGCCGCGTAAACGAGGCACCGGCGATACCAGGAGGCACTGCTTGGCTAGGTACTTGCTGAATCATTCGTTTGCATCGTTCTCGCAAGTTTCACGTCAGCTATCATCACGCCATACGTGCCAGAAGTTCGTGGAGTTCCTCGGTGGCGCAATTTTTTCAAGGGAAAGCGAGGTGTCACCAAACTGGGCCCCTGGCGCTTGCTTTACAACATCACCGGCTCCCGTCTGATACTTTTTCACGATCTATTCCCAATTCGCGCTCTCGCGCGGGACGTCCTCCAAATTTACACAGGAATCGCGCTCTCGCGTGGGATTCCCTCGCAATTTAATCATGTTCCGCGCCGTAGACGCACAGGAATCACGCTCTCGGTGTGGTGTTCCCCGCAATTTATTTGGGAAATCGCGCTGTCGCTCGAGCCCGCCACGAATGATCGGGCCAATCCTCTATGGGCGGATCCGTGGCCCCCACGCCGCGTGAGTTGGCCCGGCCGCGCGCGTTCTCCCACCCGACTGCGTACGCCGCGCCGCCGAGCGCGTGGCCGCCACGCCCAAAGGTGTGTATCTTTGTGCGCGTTTGGGGGGGGAGCTGCCTGCAGCAGCCTTCCCTTCCACGCAGGGCGATGGAAGGCGGTGGGGCGATGGAGGCCAGCATAGAGCCTTCCCCGGCACAGGGGGGGGCGTTCCCGGTCCACCGGGCTGTACGCAGCTGTTTCGCCACCCGCCACGTCTGCGTCCCCGACGGCAGCTGGGACCTCGTCCCCTGCCTCATTGTTGTCGTCGTCCCCTTTGTCCCCCCTTGCTCCTCGTCCGGCCTCAGCTCCTGCTCCCGTCCTGCTCCTGCTGCTGCTCCTCCTCGTCGTCCTGAAGGTGTCGTCGTCGCCTTCGCCGCCGCCTTCCGTCCTCCCTGTCCTCCTCGACGTCTCTTCGCGGAGGGAGGGGGCCCGCGCCGGACGCTTGGGCAGAGGAGGGGGCTGCTCGGCCCCTCCCGCCCCGGAGCAGCACGCCCGGCAACCCGCAGAGGCCAGACTCTGCGTCGCGAGTTTTTTATTTCATTTTTCGGGCGCGGATTCTCGTTCAGCTCGCGCTCATCCCCAGCCTTCACCTGCCCCCCCCCCGTCATCTCTGCCTCTTGCCTTTTCCTCCCTGGATCCCTCATCTCTCGTCCCTCCCCTCCCCCTTTTATGCGCATGCCACCTTTCGACGATGACCCCTCCTTCCCTCATCTCTCTCTCTCTCTCTCTCTCGCCTCCTCCCTCGTTCGTCGTCTCTCCTCCCTATAGACCTCTTTCCTTGTTTCCTCCACTCCCTTCCGCATCTGCTCCTTCTCCTCTGTCCCTATTTCTTCCTGACCCTCCTTCGCGTAAGTTTCTCTTTACTTCTTCACTCCCTTTCGGCATGTGCCAATTTCTTTTCCGTTCTCGTGTCCTCCTTCCTCCCTCCTCTTTCCCTCGTCCGTCGTGCATTGTTGTGTCGCCCCTCCTGCGTTCGCCATTCACTTCTTCGTTCCTTCGCCGTGCTTCCTCATTCACAATTTCACATCCTTCTTCCTTCCTTATCCCGCCCGTCCTTTTGCCTTCATTTCTCCTTCCCCCTTGTGTCCTTTCTCCGTCGTCCTTCCTCCGTGACCCTCCCTCGAACTCCCGTCTTGACATTTCTTCCTCCCGCCTTCCTCCCTCCTCCACTCGAATTGGTGTCGTCCTTCCTTGCTCCGCCGTCAGTCCCCCGTTCTCCTCCGACCTTAACCTTGAGTCTCTGTTCCTCTCGCAGGCGTGTTCCCTCCTCGTTGCTCAGTTCGCATCCTGCTTCCTCCTTGTACCTACCCCCTTGGGCTTGCCTCCTCTGCCCTCATACGTATCGCCTCCCTTCTTACTCGTGGTCTTTCGGCATCCTGCATCGTTCCGCCGTCGTGTTTCTTGGTTTCCCGTGCTCATGTCTACCTGCTCGCAGCCTGTCGCGGCTTGTCTGTGTGCGACCGCGTGACCAGGACCCCCGCGCCCCCAGAACGTTACGATCTCCACCTCTGGCGTCGTCCTTGTGTTCCTCGTGGCTTCGGGGGGCGGGGGGGGGTATAGGACGCGTAGGAGACTGCCCGACCCGTCGGACGAGAGTTGGGCACGAACCGCATCAGCGAGAGGCTGGCCGAGACCGTCGACGGCGTCGACGGCCACTGGGCTGCTACAGGGGTCTTCCTCTGCTGCTCGGCAGATCCTGTCAGCCCCTGGGCATGCGACATGCGCATCGTTCTTTTTCCGTGCACGCTGCGAGGCAGGCATCCCGTGCCACCAGACTCGTGGAAGCAGGAAAGGCGATCAGAAAGGCGATCATGTGTGCACTCAAATGTCCTGTCTGCTCAATTGTCATGCGTCCGCTCAGGCTTTGCCCTCATTGCTTCTTCCACTCGCTTTCTGTTGAACACGTCGTCCTTCTTCCTCCCCCTTCTCCTCCTCTTCCTCCTCCTCCTCCTCCTCCTCCTCCTCCTCCTCCCCTCCCTTGCCTACTCATCTCTTGCGTCATCCTGCTGCGACCGATTCCTCCGTCTCCTCCTATTAAGCCCGCTCATGCTCCTACTGCACCTGGTGTTATTGCCAATCCTTCTCCGCCTCCGTCCCTTTTGTCAGCTCCTCCTCTGGCTCCTCCGGCGAGGAAGGAGGAGGCTCGAGCAGCTACAGGAGCGGAAGGGGGAGGATAAGTTGCAGCAGAAGGACCCTTCTGAGTTAGAGGAGGAGGAGGAGGAGGAAGAGGAGGAGGAGGAGGAGGAGGAGGAAGAGGAGGAGGAGGAGGAGGAGGAGGACAACGAGGAGGAGGAGGAGGAGGAGGAGGAGGAGGAGGAGGAGGAGGAGGAGAGGACAACGGAGGAAAACGATGATGAAAACGGGAAGGATAACGAGGAGCAAATTGAAATGGAGGAGGAGGAGGAGGAGGAGGAGGAGGAGGAGGAGGAGGAGAGGAGAGGAGGAGGAGGGGGGAGGCCAGCGGCAGGGAAGAGGAGGAAGGAGCAGGAGGAGGAGGGAACAGGAGGAGGAGGAGAGGAGGAGAGGAGGAGGAGGAGAGGAGGAGGAGGAGGAGGGGAGGAGGAGCAGAGAGGATCCCCTCGCGGTCGCGCGCGCCGTCGCGCGCGCCGGCCTGCACCGCTCGGCGTGCGCGCGCGGGCAGGCGCAGAGGGCCGAGGCGAGCGCGGAGAGCGAGCGGGATCTGAGGCGCCACCGCGGCGAGGAGGAGGAGGAGGAGGAAGGATGAAGAGGAAGGAGGAGGAGGAGGAGGAGAGGAGGAGGAGGAAGGAGGAGGAGGAGGAGAGGGGAGGAGGAGGAAGGATGGAAGGAGGAGGAGGAGGAGAAGCAGGGAGGATGAAGGAGGAAGGGAGGAAGGAGGGAGAGGAGGAGGAAGGAGGAAGGAGGAAGGAGGAAGGAGGAGAGGGAGGAGGAGGGAGGAGGAGGAGGAGGAGGAGGAGGAGGAGGAGGAGGAGGCCTTCAGTGTTATGCCGAGCCGTCCCCTATCCGAGCAGGCTTGACGCTCCGTTCTGCCCACAGCAGGGTGAGGGAGGGGGGCGGGAAGGAGGGGAGAGTAGATTGGGCAACCACATCCGCCGATGTGCCTTGCTCGCGCGGCGCCCCCGAGGCTGGGGGCGGCATACCCTTGGCGCGGTCGAGTGCCTCGGCGGCGGCGAGCGATCCAGCGTCGCGGCGCCCGGCCGCCCCAGGCCGCCCCGCGCAGGCGCATTGGCCTGGTGCGCGCAGTGTTCAGGAGGGAAAGAAACACACAGACACAATTAATCGGCGATTCCCCAGAAAATATGGGAAAATATGGGAAGTGCGGGGGGAGACAAAAACCCAGAAGATATGGGAAAATATGGGGAATCGTTTTATTTGTGTGTATTTATTTGTGTGTCCCAGGGCCCCTGCAAATGTGGGGGGGTGGGGGGGGCCCTCGCCGCCTCTTGGCTGCCCGCCCGCGGTGCTCAGAGCCCGCGCCGTGCGGCCAGGCTGGGCGGGCGGCCCCGACGGGCCGCCTTGCCGTGTGGGAGGAGGGGAAGGAGGGGAGGGGCAGGCTAGGTCGCGTCGTCCCCAAAGGTCCTACCCGGTACCCCTCCCTGCCATCTCTCACCACGGCGTAGGGCCCCCCTGTCTATTCGCACAGCCGGGGCTCGAAGGAGGCATTGGTCCCGACAGGGTCGACGCCGCACAACATAGGCTATACTGCGCGGCGCCTATGATGTTCTATGGTGTACTATACTGCGCCAACATGCAATGATACCATGGCCACGTTATAGCATGGCATGGCATGATAGAATAGCGTAGCACGGCGTGGGAGAGCACGGCAGAGCGTAGCATGGCATGGTATGGCGTGGCATTGTTTAGCCACGCATTGCAAACCCTAGCGTTGGGTAACAAGGCATGGCGTCGCATTTCGGTGCACAACATAACACTGCTTTGTATGCCAAGGCATGGCGATAAACAGTCTAGCATGGCATGACATCGCGCAGGCAGGCACACTACAGCATCGCAGTAGGCTAGGCACCGCATATTGGCATCACATAGCTGACGCAACACCATCGGTGCACAGGGAACACTTCTGAGAAGGACAAAACGCAGTCAGGGGCCAGCGCCGCTGCGGGAACACTACGATTGAAGACCCAAGGCGTGACATGAGGCCAACGCTACAGCGGGACCCCATTGGCAAGGACTGGGGACGCGGAAATGAGGCGGATGCTGCAGCGGGAACACCAGTTTGAAGGACCGAGAACGCGGAAGCGGGACCAATGCCGCAGCGAGAGCACCTTTTTGTGGAACGACCGAAAACGTAAGGATCGTCAAAACACACGTAAGGAATATCACCTTTTTTACGAAACCTGCGTGTAGAAGAAAACCAACCGCGAATAGGGAGCGCGATGCTCTCCACGCGTCCTCGGGGGAGAGAGGAGAAGTATTCCTATCGTGTGCCCGTGGGCGGAGGGGGCATCGGGGGGAGGGGGGGGGAGGGGAGGGGGGGGGAAGGAGTTTGTAGGGGAGGGGGGGGGGGAAGGGGGGGAGGGGAGGGGGGGAGAAAGGAGGGGAGAAGGGAGGGGAGGGGAGGGGAGGGGGCTTCGGGGGAGGTGCGGGGGGGGAGAAGGGAGGGGAAGGGGGGGGAGGAGTTATGGCAGGGATGTGCGGCGGGGTGGGGGGGAGGGTGGGGATTATCCCGGATGAGATAGCGCACGCGCTCCCGTTCGCGGAGCCCTCCTCGCGCTTCCGGTGGACCGCGCGCGCTTAGCCGTGGTGGAAGCAAGGCCCGCCGGGTGGATAACACCATCGCGTTGGGCGGGGGGGCGCTTCGCTTCTCCGAGCGGGCGCAGCTTCGCTCGGCGACCTTGCCGAACTCCACCGCCAGGAGTGTAGACACGGACGGGGGCGGACGTGTTCCAGAGCGGAGACCTAGCAGCTAGGTCTCCGCCCTGGACACCTCGTAGAGGGGCATGACAAACCCTTGCCGCATTCCGTGTGCACTCCTTAGAGGATTCACGGCAGTTCCTTTCGAAACGGGGCTCTCATCTGACTGGCAGGACCATCGGGCGCGTGTCATTGAAGAAGGCACTTCCTTGTAATAGAAGGGAATACGTGTGGGGACTTCTGGAGAGGGCACTTGCGACGGGAGGGTGTGTTATGCAGCAGCGTTGATGCAACGTGGGTTTGCTCTGGTCTTCCTCGTCATTGCCCCTCCTCCACGCACACCCTCTTTCCTCATCCTCCCTTCTCCCCCTCCTCCTTTTTCTCGTGGAAGGAAGGGGCGTGGCACGCTGGAGAAAGGGGTCAAGCACTAATCGCTTTGATCAGCATTCTCTTCGTATGGCAAGCGTTACCCTCCCTCCTTCCTCATTTCTCCCTCCCTCCCTTACCCTTCTCGTCTATCCTCCCCTCCATCCTCGCCTCCATCCTCCATCCCTCCCTCCTCATCTTCCCTCCTCGCCTCCATCCTCCCGCCCTCCCTTCCGTACTCCGCCGAGGCTGCCGCGTGAGCTGTCGCTGTGCCGCCTCCGTATGCGGAGGAGGGCAGTTGAAGTTCGCTCGCGCTCCTCGTCGTCGCACCCTGGCGCTCCGATCGATACTTCCTATGTTCCTTCCTCCCTATCTCCCTCCCTTCTCCTCCTCCTCCTCCTCCTCCTCCTCTTCCTCCTCCTCCTCCTCCTCCTCCTCCTCCGCCCTTCCTCCTGCCCGCCTCCCTCCCTCCCCGCCAGCGTCGCCGTCGTCTCCGTCGCCGCGGAGCTTTCGTCTCTGCGCCGTCCCCTTCGCCGCTGCCAGGGCTTCCCTGCCGCCCGTGGCGGGGCTCTGATCCTGGCGGTGCTCCGCAGAGGCTGGCATCTGCGTGCAGACGAAATCGGCAACGAGGTCTTCGCGGGCAGTGGAGGCGCGTCGTACAGTGGAAGCCCACGCCAAGAAACACCCTGCTCGACTCCACGGTGCCCTGGGTGTCTTGGGTTTCCGTGGTTTTGCTACGGAGAGCGTGACGTTCCCACACCAAAATCCACGGACGTCCTGGGGTCTCAAGGTTGGGTTTCTTGTGGTCGAGCTCCTACTGTACATCATCTGGCCGGTGGGATGATATAGTGCTCTCCCACAGCAAACGACGACAAGCAACGTCCGCGCAGACAACCCTGCCGCCGAGAGGAAGTCGCCGCCAAGCGAACCCTCGGTGCTGCGTCGCTCGGCGAGCCAGGACCTGGCAGAGCCCACCCGCGCGGCGCTCTGCGGGCCTCCGCTTGTGCTCTCGCCTCCCCGCGTGTGCCAAGGGCTGCGATCGCAAGCGCGCGCCCTGCTGCGCACCAGGCGCCCTCGAGGGATGCTTGGGCTTCGGCTGGGGCTCCCCGGTGCCTCGGCGGGGTGGGCTGAACCCAGACGTCCGCCGACCCGATCCTTTTCCGTCCGCGGCCCCAGAGGTCCCGACCCCCTCCCCGGGGGTGGTGCGTCGTCCCTGATCCGTGTTTCTTGGCCCCGCCCTGTCTCCCCAATTAGTGCTTTGCGCGCCCCGCCCAGCTCTTAACCGGAAGAGGCCCGCTCTCGACCCGCAGACCAAAAAACCGTGTTTCTTGGCCCACTGTCCCGACAAGGGGCCCCGGAGGCCGGACTCTGGGAACAACCGCCGCACGGAAGAAGTCATCTCCTCGGACCTCTGGGGAGGTGGGCCGTCCTTCGGGAGCTGGCCTGGGAGTGCGTCGCTCGGCAGCCGACCCGTGGGCCCATGCTCGGGTGCTCCGTCTGGCGTCGCCGCGCGGCTGGGGGCCATCAGGAGCCCCCCTTCCCCTCCCCTGGTCGTCCAGCAGCGGCCGCGGCTGGGCCAGGCAGGGGACTCTCGGCGTCGCTTTCCGCCCAGCAGTCCTGCTGAGGCGGCCGTGCCCGCGGACTCACTCTTGATCCGCAAGGGTCCAACCAGCCAACCAACCAACAAACAAACACACCGCCTTCTCCTCCTCCTCCTCCTCCTCCTCCTCCTCCTCCTCCTCCTCCTGCTCCTCCTCTCCCCTCCTCCTCCTCCTCCTCCTCCTCCCTCCTGGACTCCTCCTCCTCCTCCTCCCTCCTCCTCCTCCCTCCTCCCTCCTCCTCCTCCTCCTCCTCCTCCTCCTCCTCCTCCTCCTCCTCCTCCCCCCCCTCCTCCTCTCTTCCTTCTCCCTCCCTCCCTCCCTTCCCCCTCCTCCAACCCCCCCGTCCCTCCCTCCCCTGCCGCCTCCCTCCCCCTGCCGGCGCGAGGCGCCGCGAGGCCGAGGCCGCGGCCGAGATCGGGCGGCGCTACGAGGCGCTGGGCAAGCGCTGCCAGGAGCTGGAGGCGGGGCTCATCGTCGTCGTCGTCGTCGTCGCCGTCATCGTCGTCGTCGCCGTCATTGTCGTCGTCGACGCCGTCGTCGTCGACGCCGTCGCCGTCGCCGTCGCCGTCGTCGTCGTCGTCGGCGTTGTCGTTGTCGTCGCCGTCGCCGTCGGCGTCGGCCTCGTCTTCGTTGTGCTTCTCGTCCTTATCGCCCCACTCCACCCCGCGCTCGGCGTCGTTATCCCCTTCCTCCTCCTCGTTTGTCTTCACATCGTCCTCTTCGTCCTGCCCCTGGTTCTCCTCCTCCTCCTCCTCCTCGTCCCCCTCGTCGTCCTCCTCGTCCTCCTTCTCTCCTATTGCTCCAGCTCCTGCTCCTCCTCCCGCTCCTCTGCTCGTCGCTCTCTATCCACCTTTCTCGTCTTGGGCTGGGCTGCGGGTGCACACAGAGGCGTGAGTTCGCTCCACCTTCTCGTCCCCCCGGCCCCCTTCATCCTCAACCTCCGAGCTGCACCCGCTCCTCGACTTCTTGCGTCTTCGCGTGGAGAAGGAGGAGGAAGAGGAGGAGGAGGACGAGAAGGAGGAGGGCGGGGTGAGGAGGGGGAGGGGGAGGAGGAGGTGGACGAGGAGGTTTTCGCAGTCTGCACTGCAGGACCAAACGTGCTCGGGACCTCCTTCGATGAGCAGCACGTCGCTCTTCCACAAAGCCCTATGCACTGCGGACTTAGCACCGACGACAACAATGAATTTCCATCGGTGCCGGTAAACCGCTGTTCCTGAACAGGCTATGCGAGCGCAAGTGCGGTCCTTGTCAGGGCGTGTTGGTAGAATGACAGATGTAGCACCCCGTAGTTGCGGATAAGAGTGAGGGGATGGGCCCAGGTTGGGTCGCTGGGGGGGTCGCGGGCAGATCGCGGGCGGATCGCGGGTGGGTCGCTGGCGGATCGCGGGTGGGTCGCAGGTGGGTCGCGAGCGGGTCGCGGGCGAGTCGCCCAATGGGTCGCGGGTGGGTCGCGGGGGGGTCGTTGGTGGGACGATAACAGTAGCAACAAAGAACAACAATCAACAACGCAACTACAATCTCCACCGCGGAACCCAACATCTGCCACGCACCCAGGGCCAGTGAATGACCGCTCGGCCCCCTTCCTGATAAGTACACCCCGCCAGAGCAGCATAAACTAGATGTGCATCTTCTACCGTGCGTACAGCATTGACGACCAGTGGATTATCATTAACCAGGGACATAACGTAACCCACCAGAGGGTGATGCACCGCGGATGCATCTAGTACCACATACGTTTGAACAACCGGGTGTATTGAATACCCTCCAATACTGAACACAAAACTAATACATGAATTCCCCAACGTGCCTGGCACCGACGATTACGCGCAGAGAGGGACCACACCACCTCCAGGTACCAGCAAACAACTCCTTTGTGACAAGAGTACTGGCTGTCCACCAGGGCGTACATCACTGCCGAGACCACACCATGGCCAACTGCAGCACATTTCCCACTATACCTCCCGTTCGACCCGACGCAGACGATTCCATTACGCTGGACACTACTACCATGCCGACAATTGCGGACCTCAAGGAGGCTATGGTACAACCGCCGCAGAGCATCGGAAGCAAATAGGAGTACGACCTTGTCAGCATGAGTTTCGTGAAGATATATTGCATGAGTCACGGGAAGCTCCATTACCAGCCGTCGGCCACAGGTGGTACCAAGCACTACATCGAGGTAATCGGACCAGACGTGAGCAAGACCAGCTACGAGTACTACAAGGACAATGGTGCTCCGACCACTTTCGATGGGTACGTCGGACATCGTGACGCGGACTTGGACAAACACCCCAAGCGCCAGCAAAGTGGAACCTCGCCGTAGCATGCTATCTACAGCGTTAGGGAAAAGGGTGTTACATGCACAACGCTCCAGACAAGATGCCACGTCTGCATCAATTGTGTGGAAGGGACGATGAGTGGGCCTGTATCCCCCTCCCCCCCTCCCCCTTTGATGGGCCAGAGGTTGTAGGACGTTATGACGGCCCTCCTCACGAACGGAAGCGCTGGCCGCCAGTGATATTGATGGGCCCCGCAGCCGCGGCGGTTGGCGCGCGCGCCTTACGCGTGCCACGCGTCGCGGGCGTAGACTCGGGGCGCGCGGAGGCGCGCTGCGGCAGGGACGAGGAGGAGAAGGAGGAGGAGGAGGAGGAGGAGGGATGAGGGGGGGGGGAGGATGAAGAGGAGTACCAGTGCAAACCCAAGACTCATCAACGATGTTGGAATAAACCCTACCTCCAAGCTTCCTGTCCATAGGCCCCTACAAGGACTCATGTACACTGAGGGAAGTGCCCCGTTGGGAGACAACCGTTTGAAGACCCTGGAGCGTGCCAAACACCATTCTGAAGCCTGCAACGTCACGAATCAACGTGACGGTTGCGTCTTGACGATCCTGAATCGTGCCAAAACACATTTCCTGGGACTTCAGCGCCACGAATCGACGTAACAGTTGCGCCCAGACAGTCCTGAAACGTTCTGAAACACACTTTCTGGTACGTTGGCCATGACAACCAATACAACTTTTGCAAGTGTTTGAAACGAATGCGCGCGGCGCTGAGGCGAGAGCCACATTTTGAAAGCGGCCCACCCTCAATCCGTGACGCTCTGTCATTTGTTAAACAAATGTTCGCAGCGCTCACGCGAGAGCCACATTTTGCAAACGACCCGCCCTCAATACGTGATGAGCTTTCAACTTTTTAAGGCGAATCTGCCCGGCGCTACGGCGAGAGCCACGTTTTGAAAAGGACGTGCCCTCAATACATGAAGGTCTTGCGTTCTTTCAAACAAATGTGCGCGGCGCTCAGGCGAGAGCCACATTTTGAAAACGACCCGCCCTCAATCCATGAAGCTCTCGCAACTTTTTCAGACGAATGTGCGCGGCGCTGTGGCGAGAGCCAGATCTTGAAAACGACCCGACCTCCATCCGTGAAGCTCTTGCCTTTTGTTTAATGCGTCCTCGCCGCCGTCGCCCTCGTCCTCGTCCTCGTCCTCGCTGCCCTCGCCCTCGTCCTCTTCGTGCTCGTCCTCGTCCTCCTCGCCGTTCCTCGTCCTCGCCGCCCTCGTCCTCGCCCTCGCCGTCGGCGGGCCTCGGCTCCGCAGCGCAGCCGCCCCGCCCGAGAGCCCCGCGACTGCCACCCGCGCCTGCAGCGGCGCGGACCCGCGCCCTCGCCGCCGATGCGCCCGCGCGGGCTCGCGCTCCTCGCGGCGGCCGCCGGGTGGGCCGTGCTTGCGGTGAGGCGGGGCCCCCGCATGACACGCCAGCAGCCCGGCCTGGCCCTCCCCCCCCACCCTCGTCGACTCCTCCTTCTGTTCCTGCTCCTGCTCCTGCTCGTGTTCCTGCTCCTGCTCCTGCTCCTCCTCCTCCTCCATCCGCCTCCTCCTCCTCCTCCTCCTCCTTCTCATCCTTCTCTTTCTTCTTATCCTTCTCCTCCTCTCCCTCCTCGTCCTCCTCCTCCTCCTCCTTTTCCTCCTCCTCCTCCTCCTCCTCCTCCCCTCCTCCTCCTCCTCCTCCTCCTCGTCGTCCTCCTCCTCCTAGAAGTGAGCCGAGCGAGAAAGGAGATAATAGGATATAAAAAACTCAGTAGGGTAATCAGCCCCCCCAACAAACTTTTGGGAAGCACGGGCCTCCCGATCCTCCCCCCCTCCTCCTTTTGAGTTGTCGTGTCGTCGTCTCCTCCCCCCTAGCTTGGGCGCGCTGCTAAGCCCGCGCGTCCCCACCCCTTGGGCACGCGGAAGGGCCAGCAGCTGCTCCCCCCGCATTGACCCGCAGGGACTCGTA